TTTGTTTAAGAAAATTATTATATTTAAAATCATCTTGTCCGTTCAAACCCAAACAACTATTAGCCAGTTGTTTGAGTATTCAATGATTGGGATTTAGTTTTTCTAATGTAAAGAGTATATTTTATAAGAAAAAATATAATTACAGATGAAAATAATAATTATAATCATGACAAAAATATAAACACATGTATAATAAATTATTAAATTATTAATATTTATTCTGTTAATTTTATCTTAACATTATACAACGCACTTTTTCCAGTAAACTCATGTTGGGAAGTTAGTTTGTATCCGCTATCCGGGTACATTCTGAGAAAAAAAAAAAAAAAAACGACGAGTTTTGACATTTTATATTGGCACCACTTTTAGTTGACATTGAGCAACGGAGTTTGGCTTCCGATTGCATTCAGGTTAATTTAAAATTAATCAATTTATGTTTCCAAAAAAAAAAATATATCAATTTAATAGGATTTAACCTTCAAAGTTCAAATGATCGTGATTTTAATTACACTCAAAACTATATGCAAATCATTCTTTTAATTACTTTCGTTGATATTGATGGAGGGGACATATATTTCGAGACGGCCATAAACCTATGCTCTCTGATTTAATGTTCCCACTCTTCCCTCTAGCTATGTACAATTGGTTTAAAAAAAATTGGTTAGGGGAAGATACACTCTCGTGATAAAAAAAATTATATTATTTTTTTCAATAAATAAAATTTTAGATTAAGAGAAGGTACGCTCCCTTGCAATATTAGAAAAATCCACCAATCTCTAATGGTTGGATTATCTATCGCTTCTCAAAAATAAAAACCTAAGGTAGTGTTTGGTTTGAGAGAAAATTTTTTTTACTAGGGAAATGTAATTGATAGGAAAATGGTTGGAAAGTGAGTTTGATAAGAAAATGTAAAAAAAGTTGTTTAGTTGACCCAAATATTACCAGGAAAATTTATTTAAATATGCAAAATCTATGTTCGGGAGAAACTTTGCACCTGTTTTTTCACTTCCTCAGTCATCTCAAAATACCACATCTCAAGTGGTATTCTGTAACAGTGAATTTCATTCAAAAATCAACACAAAAGTCATTTTCCCATCTATCCTATTTGTCTGGTATTTCTTGAAAAAACCTGAACCAAACGTGGTATTTTCCAATATCCACCTACACTTTCCCATCAATCTTAAAATAAACCTTCAACCAAACACTACCTAAGAGTTTCCAAGTTATAATTAATGAAGGCAAAAGAAGTTTGACCAGATATACCAACCTTAATTAGCTACATTATTTTATTAAGAAAAGTACATTGCCCCAATTCTTCTTATTAAAAGAAATGAATATTTTATATAATTTTCCTGTATTTAATATTCCTTTCCAAGATAAAATTCATCCACGCATCCATTCATTTTTCTAACTATCACACATAATTTATTTTTATTTTTCTGTTCTAGATTAGACACCTGTAATAAGCCCCTTAGGATCTCGTTACTACTAGTTGTCGATCAAATTACTTACAATAATATATGATAATATATGAGAAATGTTTTTCTCAAGTTACATAAAAAATTTATCTCATATCACAGACACATCGCAATCCGAGCCAACATTTTTTTTCTTTTTTTTTTTCTTTTAACCGTGAGACCCACCCAATTATATCTCTACACAAGATAATACTATCTCATGTAGCATGAGAAAACATTACCCATAATATATATCAGTAACACATGTATTCTGCAGTCATAATTTTGTTTAAAATCATCAAATCCAAGATATATATGATTTTTTAATGTTAGCAAAAATTTTGTCGCTTAGCACAAAAAATGAGATATGTATGTTTAACAAAACTTCGACCAACTAATAATTTATTAGTAGCTCCTAGTAAAGTTTTAGGAAGCTGTAATCCCAGTGCATCATTGTTCCTTTTAAAAATATATTAAATATTTCTAAAATTTTAAATACTTTAATTATATAGAGCTTATTGTTTCTCAAGCTACTTGAAATAATTTTATCTCCGGTTACTAAATCATAACTGTACAAAAATAGATCAATGGTGATAAAGAAAAAGAGAGAAAAAGGAAATCAAACCATTCAAATGTGAATAAATTAATATAAGAAAATAAATAAACAAAACGACGTAGTTTTGGAATGACCGGAGATAAATTTATTTCAAGTTGTCGGAGAAATATTTTTTCTTATATATATATATATATATATATATATATATATATATATATATATATATATATATAGCTTATCGTTTCTCAAGCTACTTGAGATAATCTTATTTACGGCTACTAAATCATAACCATACAAAGATGGATCAATGGTGACAAAGGAAGAGAGATAAAAAAAAGGAATCATAATCATTCAAGGGTGAATCAATTAATATAAGAAAATAAATAAATAAAACGACGTAGTTTTGAGATAGTCGGAGATAAACTTATCTCAAGCTGCTTGAGAAATATTTTTTTCCATACATATATATATATATATATATATATATATATATATATATATATATTTGGGTAGGGTTCTTTTGACTCTAGAGTAAGACTTTTAAATTTTATCTTCATCTCAGCCGTTAATGGACGGAAATCAACGGTTGTCATTTATAATGTAATTAATAATTAATTAACACAACTTTCTAAACTATAACCGTTGAATGGACGAAAATCAACAGCTAAGATAGAGAGTAAGACTTCCGAAATCAAATGATCTCTCTGCTGTGTATATATATACACACATTTAATGCATTTTGCTTTTACGGAATTAGTTAAGAAAATGCGCACAATCACTCACTTGAATTTTAGGAAGTCGAAATAATTAGTTGTGCCTATGAATTGCCAAACCACCAAGATTGCTCCGTTTCTACCACCACGTTAACTTGAGTCATTCTGCAAAGATCAACTATAATAAGCATTAAATGTGTTCAATTTGTTTTTCAACGATCACCGATTCCCCATGTGAATAATTGTTTTTTTTTTTTACTTTTCATGAGTCTTGAGTCAAAATTAAAGAGGAAGAGAAAATAATGACTACATCTATCTTTTTAAAAGGATAACGCATTATCCACCAATAATAACAAAACAAAGATCGGGTAACCAAAACAAAAAAATTCAAATATACACATAAAGCTTACGTACTCGTGGCTGCTAGGAATTTAAAGGTACCATGATATAGTCATAGATGACATGCTTGAATTTTCTTCATCATAAAATAATTAGATCTATGGACTTTCAACAGGTTATTATCAAATAATGCTTCAAATGAAAACATGCCACATGAGAAATGTTATTATATAGAAAGGGAAAAGTATAGGAGATGGCCTTGATAATGGGCTAGCAAAATGCCACAAGGGTTTCAGAGCAGTGCACATGTTAAGTTTCAAATTCCCAATAAATGCACCACCAACCAAGAGTTACAAAGTCCTCAAAATTGATATTAACCCACACAAACAAACAAACAAAGGAACAAACAAACAACAAACACAAAGGGGTCATCTCAACACCATGTTTTCTGGCTTTCCCAATTCCGTCGCTACCTCCCTTCTCTTCTTTCCTTTCCTTTCATCATCACAAGTCCCACTTCCTTCACTTTCTCTCATGTCCCCATTCACAACAATTGTGGTCTCTTTCGAGTCAAAAAGGATAATTAAAATACTGAATCAGAAAAAGAGGAACTATCTTTGCAACATTGCTTTTTACGGCGGTTCAAAGTTTTCACTCAAGACCCTGACTCAAAACAAATGGGGTCGGTCCCAACTACAAAGGAAAAAACACAATAAAAAAGAGAAAACTTCAACGGCTGAGAGATTGTACTTTTTTCTGCTCACGGTTCCCACCACGAGCGAATTGAATTTATTGCTCTAATCTAAAGCACTAACAAGCTAGTTTGACTTATACTTCTTACATAGCATTGCAACAATTCCAAAGAAAAGAGACGAATTATCACTAAGTTGGATAATCTAAACATGCTAGAAACCAACCTTAATTATTAGAAGGGTTCTTTTTATTTTTCCAATGCAAGTGGAAATATTTATTTTCTACTATAGACATAAAATATAATGAATCATATTACTCATAAAATAAAAAATTATTACACATAATTCGATGAATCAGTAACATAATTCCACTTATTACAAAGTGGTGATTTTTTTATTTTTTTTTCATGTTTGCTAAGGAAACCAATGTGGTGGATGTACCTTATCCTAGCTGGTATTATAGCCTGCGGTGCTTTGGGAAGAGAGGCACAAAGTACGTAGTATATTAAAACCAGTGGATGCTTTCAACACAAGCACATAGAATGCCTGAACCACTTCTTGGCACCTTCCCCTTTACCCGGAAAGACAACAAAAGGGTCAAGATTCCTTGCCCATTCTTCTACTCTTTGTTTGACAGCTAGCCCAAAGCTGCTTTTGCCATTGATGTAAACAAACACTTTTTTTTTTCTTTTTTCTCACACAGCGGTTTTTTCCCAACCATCTCTGCGAGGACTGCACTTTGGTCTATGGTAAACGTTCATTGTTATTATTTTTAATAATTATTTAATGCCCTCAAGTTGAAGCAACTGAATTGTATCACATAATTCAAACTCGGCATTAATGAAAGGATTTGACAGTGTAAGGAAACGGAAGTAAATCCCTCTGAAATTCGCAGCGACCTTGCAGGAACTACATTAAAAAAACACAATGGCCAAGTGTGGAAGCGAAATTTATGGTTAGAAACTTTTTCTCCCATTAAATTCTCAATAGATCCCAATGCCCTGATCGGCATAACTCCCAATAATTGATGAATTTAATGGCGTAAAGTTAGTTTAAGATTCAAACTTGCTTTTTTTCCACAAGCTCAATAATTAGCATTAAGAGAAAGATAAATGAGTCAACAAAGAAGCAAAGGAAAAAAAACCGAAAAAAAAGAGAGAGGGTAGGGGAGTAAAAAAAAATAAAAAATTAAACTTTACATACAATTGAAGCAAGATTCTTCCATTCTCTGCATAACCCATTACAAATTTATCTCTCTCATCCTCATCAATGCCATTAATATATATAAGAATCTTACACAAAATCTAGAAGACAAAAGAAAAAAAAAATGAAATTTAAATAATTCAAGACGATGAAGAAGAACCAGAAGCTCTGGGAGAAGTTATAGGGAACAGGGGAAGCAAGCGAGGTTCAGAGTCCCTGGGAGTGGTTGCCGGAGAAGGGTGAAAGAAAAAGCTCTTCTCTTTGATAGCTCTCTCTTCAGCCTCAGTATCCAAAATGGGGCTCCCAATCGCACTGTACCCGGAAGGGGCAGTGCCGGATCGGTCAAACGGGTCGGGTATGAGGGGAGTGACAGGGCTAAGAACAAGCGAAGGGAAATCGAGGATGCTGGGAGACAGAACCTCAGGCTTCCGAGGAGAGAACCCTGAAGCGTTGTTTGAGGAGAAAACAGGGAGCAAAGGGTTGATGTTAAGGTTCTTAAGGGAGTTTCTACGCTCGTAGAGCTTGAACCCTGATTGGTGCGGTTTCTTTGGGATGGTGGTTTTGATGGGTGGGATGTGGGTTTTGGTTTCGGAGGTTGGTTTGGTGATGGCGGCGGAGTAGGCGGAGCAGGCTTGCTTCGCCGTCTCGGTGGTTCCGGTGAGCATTTGGACAACTTGCTTGAAGGATGAGGTGTCAGCTTGGACGAAGGTTGTCGGGTACGGGTTGGCGGATTCGGATCTCGTGATGGGTTTTGGAGGGTAAGAGGAGGGTGTGGGTGTGGGTGTGGTGGGTGTTAATGGTGGCAATTGTTGAGAAGGGTTGTGGTGGTGGTGGTGTCCATTGCTGCTGTTACTGCTGCTGCTTGAGTTGTTGTGACTGTGACGTGGAGAAGGAAGAAGGGTTGTTGTTGGGTGGTGCTGATGCTGATGATGGTTTTGTTGGTACCTTCTTGGGGATATGGTGTTTGAGTCCATAGCTGATTGGTTTGAGAGAAAGAAAGAGAGAAAGGAAGTGAGAGAGAGAAGAGTAGATGAGATGAGAGCTTTGTAACTTTTGTTTGGTTTGGTAAGAAATGTATTCGTAGGGCCCTTTCAGTCTTGTGATTTGAGGGCCAATCCCTACGCGCTTTATAGGCAGTGTTTGTGTATGCAGTATATGGCAGGGGGGATTGAGAAATAATAAAATTTTCAAAACATTTAATGCAATTTTAATTTATTTGCCATATGTATAAAAAAAAATCTAGAATTGTTGGTGCCCCATTAAATGATTTTTATTTTTTAATATTTTTCTTTAGTCAAAATATTAATTTTTATAATGATGTATTTGGAATTAAAAATCGATAAAGAAAAACCAGATTTGTCAATGCCTTAAAACAAATATATGAGATTCTTTTCATGCTTAAGACTAATTAGTTAACTAAATTAAAATAGAAGGATTCTACCTTTCATATAATATATTTTTCCATAATTGTAGTTGACTATAATTTTTCTTTCAAAACATACCTATCTCTGGGGTTAGGGACTTAGGGTTTGGTTGATTTTATTTTAATACTAATGACAATATTATTCGCTAATGGCTATATTATGCATTTATTAAAAAGAAACAATTCTACATATGCTTAACAACTGTATCCTTCACTTATTTTTCATATGTAAATGGAGAAACAAAATATTAAATGCGCGTCTTTATATCAATTCAATAAAAAATAATTATCTTAAATGCTGCTTTTAAAGTTTATATTTAAATACAACATACATAATTTTTTAATCACTAGAACTTGACTATGCATTAAATGTATGAGAATAAAATCTTATAATATTTAGCAGTCAAACAGTTTAGGAATACTGCGATAATTAGAACATTTATAATTTTATTAACATATTATTAAAATAATGTGTTTAAACTCAAAATTAAATACTAGAATCTGATTTCTCTGTATTAAAAAGAAAAGAATTAATTGTAATTCATTGTGTAAATATATAAGAAATAGATGTTAAAATTTCATATGAAAGAGTTAGGTGAAAATTTTGTGTTTATCTCTTTTTTCAATAATATTTCTAAATTATAATTAAACTTCATCCATTTAATGTATATGAAGACAGAATTAGACTCAGAAAATTCACATCATATAAATTGTTAACACGAGAGGATTTATTCTAAAAAATATACATTACATCTAACAATGGATTATAATATCATTGATCGACATTTTATATAATTAGTAATATGGTCTAACTTATTAAATAAAATGTCAACACAAGATTGAATGGTAATGTAAATTTTATAAAAAAATTAATAGAGCATTGAAATTAAATTATAAAATATACATAATTTATTTTATGATATGATTAATTAGTACATAATATTTTAGAGAGTTACTAATCTCATGTTATTAGAGATAGTAATCTCATATGAGTGAGACAAATATGTGAAGTTCATAATTTAAAATATAAAAAAATGATACAAAATTCTATAGTTTATAACATGAGATAGTTTTTTTATGCAACACGAGGCTTATATTTTTCAATTTTTTATTTTGAAAAAATATTATCCTAAAAATGTATGTCTTCCAAATATTTCTTAGTTTTTTCACTGATTTTAGTTGATAATAATTATTCAAAAAGGGAGAAAAAAAACCTTATTTTGAGTGAAGACTGAAGAGCACTGCTACAGAACTCGGTGGTTGTGTTTCTTGAGTGTAACGGGCACTCACAAGAATGTAAGTTACATTTATTACAAAAAAGAAGAAGAATGTAAGTTACATAGTGTTGTGGGACCCATACACGTGAGACGCACGCCTCATGAGGGTCCAGAACACTGAACTTTGTAGGTTTTTTTATTTTTTTATTTTAAGAGTCTGTAGTATTTTTTATTCTAACAGTAGTATTGTCTAATCACAAGATTATATCCATAAAAATATTTTTCTTATAATAGAATGATATCATAAGTAACATATATATATATATATATATATATATATAGAGGAATAACATCTGTCATTCTAAAGGATATAAGTTTATATCATTTTAGATCTTAACCGTTGATTTTTGTCCATCAACGGTTATAATTTATTGGATCAAAATTATTAATTAATTAATAATAAATTTGGCACATTAAATTTGACCCAATAGATTATAACCATTGATGGACGGAAATCAACGGTTAAGATCTAAAATAATATAAGCTTCTATCCTTTAAAAGGATAAATGTTTTTTCCTATATATATATATATGTGTGTGTGTGTGAAAATAATTTTCTCATTTTACATGAAAATTTTTTCCCATGCTACACTCACAATACATTAGTGGGGTCCACAAAAAAGTGAGAAGACAAAAAGTCAAGATGGGACCCACTCAAGTATTGTGAGTGTAGCATGAGAAAATTTTCTCATGTAAAATGAGAAAACTATTTTCCTATATATATATAGGGAAATAATTTTCTTATGTTGTAGGAAAATGCTTATCTTATGTTGTAGAAACAAGATTGCAAATGGGACCCATACGTAAGAGGAGAGAGAAAAAAAAAAGAAATGGGACCCACCTAGCTTTTGTGTGTGTATGAAATGTAGTTATCTTGTGTAAAAGTAGATAAATATAGTGTTAAATGAGAATTCAATTCTTATGTTGTAGAGATAAAAAGCATGTGGGACCCAGGTGTTAGAAAAAATTATATGTAGGACCCATGTCAGCACGGAAATCGAAGGGTGTGTAGGAAAATTTGAATTCTCATGTTAAATGAGAATTATAAAACCCATAAATATAACCCATATAAATATATAGGGAAAAAAGTTTCCGATGTTACTTTAGATAACTTTATCTAATGTTCATCGAAACGACGTCGTTTTGGGTTTGAAAAATTAAAAAATTAGAGTGATAAAGACTATTATAACCCTGAAATAAATTAAAATCACAAAAATACCATGATTTCCGTCCCAAAACGACGTCGTTTTGATGAACATTAGATAAAGTTATCTAAAGTAACATCGGAAAAAACAAACCCATATATATATGGAAAAACACCTCTCATGTTACATGGGAAGTGTTTTCTCATGTTGTGGTTCTTCAATTTGCGTGTAATTTTTTTTTAATAAGTGTGGGGCTCACCACTAGTTTAGTCACAACATGAGAATTCAATTATCATCCAACATGAGAAAATCAAAACTCATATATATATATATATATATGTGTGTGTGTGTGTGTGGCTTATCATTTCTCAAGCTGCTTGAGATAATTTTATCTCTGGCCGCTAAATCATAACTGTACAAAGATGGATAAATGGTGAAAAAGGAAGAGAGAGAAAAATGAAATCATAACCATTCAAAGGTGAATAAATTAATATAAGAAAATAAATATATGAATTTACATTTCTACAACTGTTGTACGTACAACAGTCAAATACTTGCCATATATATACGTGAAAGTATTAAATATGGGGAGTCATAACCACACAAAAGATGAAAGCATTAAATGTGGAGAATCATAACCATGCACCTGTTATTGTTGTACGTAAAACGGTTGTATATATGATTTATATATATATATATATATATATATATATATATATATATAAGGGATTGCATTTCTGCAGTTGCTGTATGTGCAGCAGTCAAATACTTGTTATATATATACGTGAAAATATTAAATATGGAGAATCATAATTATACAAAAGATAAAAGCATTAAATGTAGAGAATCATAACCATACCCCTGTCATTATTGTACGTAAAATGGCTGTCAAAATGATTTTACCATATATATATATATATATATATATATATATATATATATAGGATAAATCATTTTTCCAGTTAATGAAGACAAGTTATCTCTGGTAAGCACAAAATGACCTCATTTTGTGGCGGAGATCATTGTATTTTTGTAATTCTAATTTATTGCAGGATAATATTAGTCGTTATCATTATAATTTTTTAATTTTACAATCCAAATCGACGTCGTTTTGGACTCACTGGAGATATATCTCCAGTGACTGAAGAAATATTTTTCCTATATATATATATATCTAATATATGCAATGGTGGACCCAAGGCTTTTTGTAATAGGGAGCAAAAAAAAATTAAAATTATAAATATTGTTAAGACTAATAGGAAATATTAACTATTATAAATATTTTTAAAGTATGGACAAACTATTAGTATTAATAGCCTATTGGAATATGTATTTAATACTTTAATAGTTTGATACTTTGATTAACTTGTGTAATATTGACTTGTGAGTGTAATTGATTGAATTATGTTAAGTTATTTTGAATCTTTGTTGATTGATGGTTTAATTTTTTTGAATTTTTCATATAGGATATATATTTATATTTTTTAATGTATAAAATCGGGTCAGCGAAGTGACCCCGTAAAGTTGAACTCGTGACCTGACCTCGGCTGAGTTGATTGCGAGCCGAGTTTTTAAACATTGGTGGTAAATACAACCGTATAATCGCTCCTATATATACAAGGGTGATCCTAATTTTTAATTTTTTGAATTTTATATTCAAAACAATAATTTTAAATAATAATAGGTTATTAATACTAATAGTTTGTCCATCCTTCAAAAATATTTATAATAGTTAATATTTCCTGTTAGTCTTAACAATATTTATAATTTTAATTTTTTTTCTCCTTATTACAAAAAGTCTTGGGCATATATATATATATATATATATATATATATATATATATATATATATATATATATATATATATATATATATATATGAGAAAAATATTTCTCAAACTGCTTGAGATATATTTATCTCCGATTAGCCCCAAAACTATATCGTTTTATTTATTTATTTCCTTATATTAATTGATTTACCTTTGAATGGTTATGATTTCATTTTTCTCTCTCTTCCTTTATCACCATTTCTCAAGCAGCTTGAGAAATGATAAGCCCTATATACATATACATATATATATATAGATATATATATATATATATATATATATATATATATATGATCATTTGACACCAAATC